CATCCGAATAACTGATGTTGGCTTTGATGGGCTTGCTTATTTTTATTATTATTGATAGATTCTTTCAAGCCTTTTTTTAGATATTTGTTGATTTACAAGATTGATACAATAAATTCTTTTCATTCTCGGCTACAATACACAAATCAAACCAATACCAAATAAATTAAACAATTTAAATTAACCTTTCGCTTAGTCTCATTTAAATTTCAATTTAAACTTTATTTTTCTTCGACTCCTTTTCAAGTGCTTTCTCTTTTGCTTTCTGATATAAAGGCACAAGTTTGCCTTCTTTAGCAAGAATCTTCAAAAGTTCCATGATAAGCGGTAAATAATTATGTTTTCTTCTGATATTCTCTATTTGATATCTCTTTGATTTTCTAATCTCTTCCTCAATTAAGGCTTGCAGACGTTCTAATTCTTCAGGATCACAAACATTGGCCTTCTGCCTTTCATATAAAGTTTTTCTGTCTGTCACTATAGCCATTAAATTGAAATGAATCTCGCCTTCGTTATTTCTGTTTAATAATAATTTTTATTTTTATACTTTATAGCAATATATGTATAATATTAAAAAATATATATATGTATGTATATGTATATACACACATATACATAACAAGTTATTGAGAAAGCTACATTTTGTAACTTACTTGTTTATTCGTTTTTGAATTATAGGTTTCGCAGCTTGTACCCATTGTTTCCCTACTGAACAAGGACCCAGATCAATTGGTCCATCTTTCAATCCATCTAATTCGTACAAACGACCATCAATCGGAACATAACTTACAAAATGAAACACATCATCATCCTTAGATGCCTGTTTTGAGTCGTATTCAAATAATGTTTGTCTAAAATTTTAGTGTATAATAAATTTTCTTTAACATAAACAATATTTAATGAGTATATATTAAAAAGTATATATGTAATATAAAATACCTGGAGAAGGAATTATGCACTTCTCTTATAACATCAGAATTACTAAGTGCAAGTCCACGCATATTTGCATCAAAGCTTTGACAGAAATTTTTAAATTCTTCTAAGTTTGGTCCGAGAGATATGTCTACATGTTTACAGTTTAATAAAACGCTCAATATTGCTTGGGTCGCGCAAGCATTATTTATTACCTAAATTAAATGTTATCTTTTTAAATACATTTAAAGTTTTTTATATTCAATAAATTCCACATGAATCAATAGTTACTGTCCATTTACACCAATTCTCAGATAATTCTCTTGTGATGTCATAACTCAGCTGAATGCGTGTTCCTTTTGCATTGTGACAAGTGAGATTTAACTGAGTTTTTGCCTATAATCTACACAAGATCGAGACCATGAGAAGCACAAAAGTCTCTCCGAGAGATAAACCTGTGTTGTCATGTGATAATTTTTGTATGCATTGTACTTCTGAAAACACCATCTTGATCTTGTGCAGATTATAGGCAAACTCAGTTAAATCTCACTCTCTACAAGAGATGAACCTGTGTTGTCATGTGATAACTTTTTACTAAAGTAAGCAAATAATGACGTCATTAATCTGAGTATAAAATACTCAGCTCACTTCAGACTCAGTTTTACTTATGTGTAAATGGAAAGTAACTATTATCTATCAATTATCTCAAAATATAGATTCAATAAAATAATAATATAATAATGTCATTTTTTCTATGTTCCAAATATTCTAATATATTCTAATTCTTTTACATTCTTATACTGTAACAAAATTAATGATTATATTTAATTTACTATTAAAATAATTTTCTATTTCTAAGTTAGTAGTATATCTATTTAAAATATCTATTTTATACTTTACATACCTGTTTTGCAAAGAATATTTTGTCCAATCTGTTATCTTGTACAATATTCCCTGATAATTCATCATCTTGTACCCATTTGAATAAAAATATTAAACCATGAATGGGCCTAAAAGAAAAAGGAATTTGTAACAATTAAAAAAAATTACACATAAAAATTAACATATTAAGATATTAATATCGTCTAAACTGGTGTCATATATTTATTACTTTTCATATTTATGTATATTTTTCTTATTTGTATATCTAAAGGAAATCAAGTACATATGAAAACATTCTGAAGAAATAAAACAGAAAAAACAAACATGCAAAAAAATTAGTTATCAAGAAATATATATTATCAATATCTTTCATGTACAAATGTCTTTCAAATAACACAAAAATTACAGTGTCAATGTTACACAAAATAAGCTTACATCAACTCATTAAATTGTTCATCATCCAAACTCCATAATTCTTCTACTTGTGCACCTTTGACCCCTATACAAATACAGCAATATTTAACATTTCATTTAAAATTAGATAATTTTACAAGATATAATATGTTGATACAATAATTGAAAAAATTATTTTTAAAATGTTGCAAAGATTCTGTGAGACTTTATAATCACAATTTAGAATCAAGCTATTATAAATATTTATATATCAACATAAATATAGTAAAGAGCAGCTAGGATCAAAGTTAGATGTTTCGAATAATGTAATATTCTTGGTTCATGAATTTAATTTACCTCAAATGTGACTGTGCGTCATATTTATATATATATATATATATATTATAGGTATGTATTTGTGCTATATACATACATATATGTATGTATATATACATGTATACAGGGTGTTTCTTAAATAGCAGACACTAATCTCATATAGCATTATTCCTAATTAAAAATTGAGTCAAAAAATCCTCTATAATTTTGCAATTTTCGCAATGGTTGACGAAATATCAATGTCTAAATATTGCTGAATAAGCGTGTATCCGACTGTCCAATCATTAACTATTACGAAAATTGCAAAATGATAGAGGACTTTTTGATTCAATTTTTTACCAAGAAAAGCATTATATGATTCGGCAATTGCTTACTCGGCAATCTTTAGAAATTAATAGTTCATCAATCATTGCGAAAATTGCAAAATGATAAAGGACTTTTCGACTCAATTTTTAATCAGGAATAGCGCTATATGATCAGTGTCTGCTATTTAAGAAATACCCTGTATACATATGTATACATATACATGTGTATATATATATGTATATATATGTATTTATATGCTTATTATAGATGTACTTTTCTACATGCGTATGTATATTTATATATATAGTTCTGTAGTTTATAGTTTTTACTAACTTTCATGCATGACAAATGCTTTCCATTAGAACTTTGTTCAATTCGAGTAACGCTAAAAATAGTGCAAGCAAAGAACGCACTATGATTACAGAGAATGAAAATTTGAAATATACTTGCCAAATTCTTTAATCAATTCCGTAAAAACGCCAGGATCGCTCTCAATGAGACACCAATTTCCTGCCGAGTCCGCCATATTTTATACACTATCGTAAATGTGTTATAGAAAATAAGTAGAAAACAGTAAAAAGTACGTGAAATTTCTTGCAAACTGACGCGCCACTTGGCGGCAAACTCTGCAACCTTCTGGAAATATCTGTACCATTTTCCTTGTACTATTTTTGTGGACGCCTCTCAGGTTTCTCTCTGCACCAAGAAATAAGCTGGAAACACAATAGACACAAGCAATAGGCACAGGCAACAGGGAATAACGAGCCGTCCAATCAGAGCTCTGGGATATAATATCGAACTTATATC